CTGTTATCCATCGGGATCTTCCTGATGACGTATTCCAGTGCTATATTAAAAAGCATGGGAGCCATACTGTCTCCTTGCTTTAACCCCATATCCGTAGGGAAAAAATCCGTCAATGTGTTTTGTATTCTGACTTACGCCACTGAGTCCGTCATTGTCATTTTGATTAATCGGATCAGTTTTATTGGTATTCCGAAATTCAGCATTATTTTAGTGTGTTCCACTCAATGCTGTCGTACGTCTGCTTGAAGTCTACAAATATTTGGGTGACGTTGATGTCAAATTCTCATCATTTTTCTAGCACCTGTTTGACAGTAAAAATTTGGTCTATCGTTGAGCGTCCCCTTCTGAATCCGCCATGATATTCTCCTATGAGTTCCTCCGTGTATGTTCTTAACCTGTGTTTTAAGATTTTTGATAGTATCTTATATGATGTGCACAGTAGTGATATCCCTTTGTAGTTGTTTTCGCATTGCAGTTTATTCCCCATGGATCGGGCATGTGATGCTTTTTCGCCAATCTTCAGGCATTTCTTCCTGTTCCCATATGCAATGTATCAAACTTTGTAGGATCCTTTCCAGACTTTTCCCGCCCGCTTTGAGGAGTTCTGATGGGATCTCGTTTATGCCAGGCGCTTTGTTCAATTTTAGGGTTTTCATTGCGAGTTGTATCTCCTTCATTGGGGGATCCATTGGTGAGCGTTCATCCTGCGGGTCCTATCCTCCTTCTTCTGTTTCAGGCATAGTGTTTTCTGGGATTAAGAGGTCCCGGAAATAAGACACCCATCTTTTTTTTTATTTCCTCTTTATCGCTTATTAGCTGTCCATTTTTATCTTTGCATAAGCTTGTCCTCGGGTTGAAGCCATCTTTATTGAAGCCATTTGCTTCACCATTCTATATGCTGCCCTTGTGTCATTGACCACGAAATTCTCGTTTACATGTCTAAATTTCTCATCGAGATATTTCCGTTTCTTCTGTCTTATGATTTTGTTTGCTCCTCGTCGAAGGTCGTCGTATTTTTCTTTCCTAGCTCTCGTCGATCGCTCGATGAATTCTCTATAAACTTCATTCTTCTCGGCGAGCGTCTCCTGGCATTCTCCGTCGAACCACTATTTCCTCCTGTGTCGAGCTTTGTATCCTTTTTCACTGCAGTTTTTATTTTTTCCTTGACCTCGTTCTATGTTTCATTTATTTTTCTCCCAACGGGTTTGTTCTAGCCCCGAGTGCTATCACGATTTAGTCCTTGTATTTCGGCATAGCAACAGTCTCACAAAAATGCAAGACTATTATCAAAAAGCAACGTTTGCATTTCGGCATGACAATGGCCCGCGGAAATGCAAAGCTGCGAATTTAACAGCGCATGCGGATTAAAATCGTACACGCGCCGAACAATTCCCGTGACCATATATGGTCACGTCAGAAATCGTAATAAGACACGGCGATTCCTTTATATTCGGCTGCCTAATCGCAGACCGACGAGTTCGTTCCGATAAGCAAACATAACGAGACGCCGCGAATATCGGGTGTCACATTACAACCGCGATACCGACTATCATAGAGGGCGCGAATGCAACAATTAAGAATAAGCTATGAAATATTAACGCGAATATCCAATATAATACTTAATCGAATAATTGTAAAAGGGGTTAAGAAAAGGGGTTGTTTTCAAATAAAATTGTGAAAAGTTATGAAGTGAGTGTTCTTTCGTTACCCCTCGTGCACCATCCTTAGCGCTCCTCGTGAGTCCCAACCCTTCAGGCGGACCAAATCCCCAAAATTATATCTTGTTGCACTGAAAGGTACAACAGGTTTCTCTATCATTATCATTAACTCGTTCTCTAGTGTCTCCCTATATTCTTCGGCCGTTTTTTCATTCCGAAGTTTGTTGATGTCAAAACCTCGAGGAGGGTTAGTTTTGGTTTCGAAGGCCTTCGATATCCGGCACCGGAGTTTTATCTTAATCAGATGATGGTCTGAATCGCAATTCGCTCCCCTATACGATCGGACGTCTAGGATACTGGAGGCCCATCTTCTCTGAATAAGTACGTGGTCTATTTGATTATGCGTGCATTCATCTGATGACGTCCAAGTTCTTTTGTGTATCCGTTTGGGAAACAAATCGTACTCACAATTAAGTCTCTGCTACATACGAAATCGACGAGTCTTTGGCCATTATCGTTACAGTTCATGCAGGCTACATCCTCCTGTGGTCCTCCGATGAGTCTGTTCATTTCCGATTTTCGAGTTGAAATTTCTTGGTAATAATTTGAGATGTCGTTCGAAGGCAGTGAGTCAAATAGCCTTTCCAAACGATTGTAAAAGTCATCTTTAATTGTTTCGTCCTTATCTTCAGTCGGGGCATGAGCGTTGATGAACCGAGAATTTTGCTTTTATACGAATCGCAGATAATCTTTCGTTAACAGGTTTGAAATCTAGTATTTGCGGCTTGAGTGCTTTATCTACCATGAAAGCCACTCCGAATTCCTGATTTCCCGTTGACTTACCATTTTTGAGGATCGTATGCGCTCTCATATCCGTGATTTCGCTACCCAACCATCTAGTTTCCTGGATCGCTATTATGTCCAGTTTGTATTTTTTCACCTGCTCTGTTAGGGCTCTAACTACTCCCGCTTTGTATAAGGATCGTACATTCCATGATCCTATGGCATAGTCCGTGATTCGTTTGCATGTCCGTCGTCGTGTATCCAATCCAATCCGAGGCTCCGCTTCAGGTTCCTGAACTTGTCTTTTTTTACGGGGATGGGTTGTCAGCTCATCGCCCAATCTCCAACCTAGAGGACCAGTTTTTGTTTCACGGTGGGTATTTTATTTCCCCACTGCCCTCCGAGTCGTCAGCTCTAGACCGGCGAATCGGCGAGCTTTCCCCAATTCCAATGGCGACGCTTCCGATGGAAATAACTGGCAAATCTCCGGGGGTCGGACACCTTGGATCATACTAAATGCCGAACTGTAACTTCGAGCATCATAACTAAAAAAGTACTTGATGGAAAAATATTTTATTATAGAATTTTGGAAAGTTCTCGAGGTAAGTTACAAGAATATGTAATAAAAAATAAGCGGTTACATTTAAAAAAATCGACGTGGCCTTGACCTGGCCTTGGTGACGCCACTCAAGGTCAAACCAATGGTACCACCTTATGTCCCCCTCCGAATCATATAACTTTTATCTGAAACATTTTTCTCTAAAATGCATTGTTCAAGAGATATTTTAGTGCGTCAATTAAAATGATACACCCTACTCAACATGATACACTACTCAACAAAATTAAAGGATCACTTGTTCCATCCTATAAAAATAGGCAAATTTCAAGATAGAATAACTTCGTCAAAAGTCGTCGTATCGAAATGTTTAAAAAAGCATTTTAAAGCTTGAAACATCTACTTTTCAGATCGGTATTTAAAAAAACGATCTTATTGATATTTTGTGAAGTTACATAAACATAAATGAAGACTCATTAGATATCAAAATTTTTTACGAAATTTGCGAAGTGCTACGGCGCGAATTAAAAATTGCGCACAAATACGGTTTACAGCTTTCGAAAGAGTAAATCTTTACCTTCAATTTGTTTTTTACGAAGCTTCGTACGATTTTTTTTTACCGAGTTATTCAACGTTGAAGCAAAAATGACTCTTTTTGCTTCGATGTTGAATAACTCAATGAAAAAAAATCGTACAGGGATCAATAAAAAAGCAAATTAAAAATAAAGATTCACTCTTTCGAAAGCTGTAAACCGCATTTGTGCGCAATATTTAATTCACATCGTAAAATTTTGTAAATTTTGTAAAAAATTTTGTGATTTGATGGCATCTTCATTTATGTTTGTATAACTTCATCAAATATTAATAAAACGATATTCCAAAATACCGATCTAAACAATAGAGATTTCAAGCTTTAAAATGTTATTTTTCAACATCTGGATACGATGATTTTTAACGAAATTATTTTATTTTGAAATTTGCTTATTGCTTTTCAACAAAATTAAAGTTATTGAAAATCAGCGTTAAAAAAGACCAAATTCGAATGTTACATATCTCCGCGAAGAATGGTCCAAACGATATTCGAAAAAGCATTTTAAAGCCATAACAATGG